TTAAATGGTAAGACCAAAAATAGTCATTGCAATATGTCATCTCAATGCAATTTTTCTTTCCAAAAGACATAAATCAGCCTAATGTTTTTTGGTCGATAGTAGTAAAATAAATAATAAATAGTTTTCCAGATAGTTTTAGAGGCTTTTTTTGCTTCTAAAGTTTTAGTCCTTTGTGGCAGGAGTTCCTGGCATCTGAATATGGTCTTTCCCTCATCTGACTTCATTTATGATCTACATCTATCAAGGGACTTTCAGAAATATGTAATGATTTAACAAGGCAGCTAGTTCAAGTGGGGGATAATTAAGCTTTCACCCTCCCCTTCACCCTGTGCCACTGTTCTATACCCTCCCCATCTCCATTGTACCCTTAAAAGCAGTGGATCTGCAGGCAAGCGCTGCACACTCTCCACAGCCAGCGACTTCCTCTGAAGCTGCAGTGTGTAATTACAACCAGCTGCTAGGGGCTGCTGAGAACAGGGCAAGCAGCACCTTCCTGTCCAGACATAACCCCCATGCTTTGGGAGCTCCCAGGATCTGGTAACTCCCAGGCTTCGCTGTGTGAACACCCACAAGGAGGTTCCTGCACTCTGCCAGTATGAGTTAAGAAGAGAGCAACACTCCACTTTGCTCCCGGAGGTACTAAAAGGACTGCGCATTTCAGCCTCCCTCCTCCTTCTCTGTTTCACCTAAATCCATCTGTTTAAAGGGAAGAAAGCCTCCTTCCCTGGCCCCTGCTGCTGCTCCAATGACCCACTCCTGTGAGGCCGTGGGGCCGCCTGGCTGGCCCTCTGCTCCCTCCCTGACTGACAGCCCACACCGCACACCCTGCGGTGGAGCTGTGCATCCCACGGTGACAGCAAACGGAGATTAAGGCTCTCTTTGAGTGGTATGTGCTGGCTCCTGTGGGCTTCACCTGGACTGCAGGATTCTTATCTTTTAAAATGCGAAAGCCTCGATGCCAGTCATCGGAGCTCATGGTTAACTGGTGTCCTGAGGTGTGTGAGACTCGGGGACAAAAAAAGTGGTGAAGTAGCAGAAGAGGCCGTATAGGCACACATACATGCAGCTGGAGTGGGCACTTCTTTGTTCTGCCTTTTCAATTTCTGATAACTTTCTGAAACTCAATTCCTTATTAGTATGCATTAAGATTAATGCAAATTTCCATTTGTCCACCTTCAAGGACAGATATACACCTCAAAATTCTAACCTTGACTGTTCATTCTAAACACTGAGCAAGAGCAAGCTCAGCTGACTCTCTCATTTTAGGTAATTTGTGGCTCCCAGTGACTTAGCTATAAGATTTGGAAAAGGAAATTTCTTAGGCTTCTAACTATGAACAAACTTAATAGACCAATAGAAAAGTTTAAGCTCAATCCATCTAACGTTATAAAGCACTAAGAATTGAGTGTGCAGACTCAGAGGACATTGTCAAGCAATTACTGCTGTTAGAGCTAGGTTTGTTCTTTTCCAACTGAATCCCAGAATAGTTGAGGTTAGGAGATATGTCTGGAGATTATCAACTCTGCTCCAAGCAAGTGTCTCACAGGTGCGTTGAGTTTTGACCATTTCCAAGGATAGAGATTCTGCAACCTTTCTGGGCAACCCGTGCCACTGCTTGGTAATTAAGAGACGATCTTTAATTTCTGTCTGTACATCTTTGAAAAATAATAACCGTAATGACAGCATTTTTACAATTTTCCTCCAGAGAAAAATTGCAGTTTCACGCATGTTAACCATGAAAAAGTCACTCTCGAAAAAGTCACTCTCATAAAAGTCACTCTCAAGAAAATGAACTTAGGGTGGAAGTGCAACAAATGTTGCAAAAATCCCTATTATAGCCTACAGCCTGAAGTAGAAGTGGTATAAGACTGCAAAGACACAGGCTAGGCAGGGATAGCTGCTCTGATTAAGGGACAAAGCATTAGGAAATAACAAGCATGTTAGAGATGTCAATACCAAAGAGTGACTGGAATTACTTAGAATGGTTCAAGGTAATAAATCTTCAGCAAATGGAATGTACTTAAGAAAGGAGAAATTTAGGTCAAATTTCAGGAAAAGATTTCTAATGGTAAAGTACAGAAAGTTATGGAATATTTGCCTGAAGGAAGAGACACATGGCATATCTCTGGAGACTTTTAAAGCCACACTGGAAAAAGCACTAAAGTATTTGGTACACAGTAATCCTTCAACAGGAAGGAGAAAGGCCAGATGATATAACTGGGCTTTTCCATCTCTGCTTTCTGTGATTCAGTGGTAATTCCACTGGCCAGTTCTACTTTTAAATACAAAAATCCAGCATCCAATTGGTGAAAGCAAATGCTGTAGAAGAACTTATCTCTTCACCCAAGCACAGAATGCAAATGCCTTTCAGAAATTTTTTAAGGTTTTAAGTTACTTGTATTTGAACATGTCTACACTATGATGAGAAGAAAACACATTAAAAATGTGAACAGTCATTGTGTTTGCACTTGCAGCAGGGATCAGATGTGTTCAACCTGGGTACTAGCACTGAAATTTCCAAATTTTGAATGGAAATTATACAGACACTATTTAATTGGAGTGGATTCTGTAGGTACTGTCATAATGTTGCTCAGCACGAGGAAGAGTGATAGATCTGAGATTCTGTGAACTTTCAAAGGCAGGCTTACACCTTTCTTACTTGCTTTTTTTTTTGAGCTGTTGCTGAAGGACAAAGAAAAAAAGGGGGAGGGGAATATTTTACACAGAGTCCTCTGAAAATCTTACTCTTTTCACTTAAAATAACCACTAACCGGTCTTGATCTCAGGTTTGGAAAGATCTGCAGCTATCTGCATTCTGCAATCCACAAAGACACACACACGCTGTTCTTCGAAAGCTCTTGTTCTATCACAGTTGATCACAGGTGATTAGCAAGGATTGGGCCAGCAGTCCCGCTAAACTTCGTGGAAGAGATGAATTACATAAATGGTACTCAAAGCGAGCAAGCGTTGTAGGACTGGATGACAAAAGGTGTGCACGGAACGCATCGGCATTGCCGTTTCAGTTTGTATGAGGAGCGTGCCTTTGAAGAGATTTCTCCTGATTGTTTCATCCCGGCTGGTTCAGACCGTGGAGCAGTCTGAAGCCGGATTAGTCTCAAACGAAGCTAAACTGGAAGATGTGTTCCAGCCATTACTGCACCGCTCCAGAGCAGATCTACCACAAAGTAAAGCATCCTGAAAAGCATGTAGCATAGGCACCAGCGAGACTCACTGCACAGATCCCCTGCCACCGTATACCACTACTTCCTAACGTAGTAGTAACCACAACCCCTGTGGCAGCCCCCTTCCCAAAACTGATGATCTGACTAACAAGACTGTTAGGAGAACTGAAGCAACACCAGGGACACTGGAAGTCTGGCTCATCGGTGACTTCTTACTTCCGATCTCCTTCCTAAGTCTAGTTCTTTCGATTATCTCAGTGCTAGCACACCATTCCACGCACGGGGCAGGAGCACCGGCGCCCCAGCCTTCCCACCCTCCCATCAGCATCAGGCCCGTCCCGGACCCACACCCGCTCCAACGCGGCTCCGTGACTCGCTCCGCTCCGACCCGGCGGCGCTGGGAGCGGCCGCAGGGAGCGCACGGCGGGGCAGGACGAGCTCTGCGGTCCAAGCTGCGGTGCTCCCGCTGCAAAGAAAAGCTCCCCCTGGAAAGGCTCCCCCAGGCCGGCCGAGCGCCGCTCCCGCCGCGTTCCCGCAGCGGGCATCCCGCCCCGAGCCGCGCCCGCCCCGCCGCCCACGGAACCACCACCCCCGCCCCTGCCCGGCCCGGAATGCCCTTTAACCAGCCGGCACAGCGCCTAACCCCGGCATCCAGGGAAACGGAACACGGGGAACACCCGCCGGGAGCCGCAGGGAATCTGCGGGCTGGATCTCGCCGGAGCGGGGCGCGCTCCTCCAGAGCTCCTCTGGCACCGGAGAGCCAGTGCCGGGCGGGGCCATCCCCGCAGGGCTGCAGGGGGAGGGCCGGACCCGCCGCCCCGCCGCCTCCCAAAGGCTCTCCCGCCGCTTCCCAAAGCCGCTTCCCAAAGCCTGTGGGAGCCGCCGTGGAGCTGCAGACGCGCCACCCAGGGGCCGGCGGCGGCACCGCGCCCGGCCGGGCCAGGGAAGCGGCTGCGGAGCCGCCGGAGGGAAGGAGCGGGACGAAGGGGCAGGGAACGGCACAGGTCCAGCGAACCCACTGAAACTGGCGCGGCAAGGCGGGACATACGAGCACCGCATAGGAGCAGGAAGATTAGCTCTCGTTTGAATAAAATTTCATCAAAACATATTTCTTTTTAAGAGGAGAGATGCAAATGATGAAGATAAATAGAAAATAAAGTAAGATGCAACATCTGTTTATTACCCGCCAGATGCTGCAGGTTGTCCTTTTCTCTGTTTTTTTTTTTTTTGGGGGGGGGGGCGAGGGTGGTTTTCTGTTTGTTTGTTTGTGGTTTTTCTTTTTTTGTCGGTTTTTGGGTTTTTTTGCAGCTGCCCATGCCCGGGAAAACAGGAATCAAACATGGAATGCTGCCAAAGGTGACCCTATCACTGACAGCACTTGTCACACGGAAGGTGATCGAAACTCCTTGGCTTTTGTGAGAAAGAAAGAAGGGACAGGGCTGTGCTCTGCACGGCGATCAACACCACAGAGAACGTTCTGCTGTGAGGACAAGTGAATACAGTCAAACTGGATCAAATATTTCACCACCCTCAGCTGCTGACCAGCATCCTGGAATGATCTCCCAGTCATCACGGTGTAGGCAAGAAAAAACTTATATCTGAAGAATTTATAGAAGTAGTTACTTTGTGGCGATGTGTGCAGTAACAATGGCTTGGATGGCCTCTCTGGTTCAAGTTCCTGTTACCTCTGTATATCCAGTCTAGAAGGGACTAGACAGGTGGATTCTAAAACAGCAAACCAGGTGTCTTGTGAGTCCTCCCCACTGATGAAGAAGCATAAAGCAAAAATAAGATGAGGAGAGCCCCTACTCACAGCTGTGACTACAGCAAGGTGGGCATGCAGTGGCCAGGCTGGGTGGGTAGGGCAGGCTTGATGCAGAAGAACAGGCCTCCAACACAGGACAAGCAAAATGAATCAGCAGTGTCACTCTGGGGGGAAGAAAGCAAACATCATATTTGGTGTGTAACACAAAATTGCTCTGAGAGACAGGTGAAGTAATCCTTCTGCTTTATTTAGTATTATTAAGGCATGAGCCATGTGATCATAGGGTTAGAAAACATGACCTACAATGAAAGATCAAAAGAACTGCACTTGTTTTATCTCCAGACAGGAAGACTGAGGAGGAGTATGGTCACAGTTTTCAAAGGAAAGGAGTAATTTGTTCTCTATGCCCATTGTGAACTAGAAGTAATAGATTTAAGTTACAGCAAACATTTTTAGAGATAATCACAGGGAGACATTGAAACATATTGCTGGGACAGGCTGTGGTGTATTTGTCACAAGAGAACAAGTTAAACAAACATATTCCGAGACTGATATAATCAGAGCAGAACTCTTGGTGGGGATGAAGGTTACAGCTGCCAGAGATCCCTTCCATTTTTTTTTGCTATTATTTTATGAGAGAATTTTTTTTTTCTGTTTCAAACACAATTAGGATTCAAAAAAGGGGGATAATATTTCCATTTTTTTAACTAGCTTATTGAATTACCACAAATATTTCTGTATCTCAGCTCTCTTATCACTTGAACTGAGGTAGTAATACACAATTTATGAGGATACTGTGAGTCTGTAATGCATTATTGCAACCCTGTGGATGTTGGGAAAGGAGGTGATATACCAATGTAAAGTACCTCCAGAACATCAGTTTCTTTTTCATACTGTTTTAAATATTGTAATTTGTTTTCCTGTCCTCTCAAAGAGTTTATAGGCTAAGTACACTGTGATCTCCACTAATACTGAAGTACATCTCTTCCCAAAGAGAAACAAACCGGAGTTCATGTATTTTGATAGAACACTGAAGTTGAGAAATAACTCTAGATTAAAAAACCACAAACCCTAACCATTACATTTCATACTACTACAAGTTTCTTTTATTGTGTGAATTTCTAATTCAGAAACAGTGATCCTTTCTGCTCACTTAGGCATGCTGAAACATCTACTGAAAAAAATCTACCTCCCCAAAATAATTAGTGAACACATACAGCCAACAATAATAGTGAATATTTAGAAGACCTGTCCAACTAAAGAAAAGCCGAAATATCTCATTATTACTTCCCTTCCAAAATGCAACAATGGGACTAGATTCACTAGAACTTTGAAACATTCTTTGTTGTTAATAAGTTTATATTTAAAGAAAAACAATTCAGGTGAATCTGGCATACTGTATTGCCCAGAGAGATAACTGCAGTTCAGATCCACTAAAAACATTGATCCCAAATTAAAATAATTTTTATATGACTGATTTGGACAGTTCTTGCTAATCATCTTATTACAAACACTTACTTTTTGCAGATTTTCTGCAATGATATCCAAAATAAGCTGTGCTTCCTCTTGCCACACCAGGGTCCTGCTCTCCTGTCAGCTTGGCAGCCACTCCTTTCAGCAACCAATCCAAACTCTGAGAGCCAAATTTCTCTGTGGTACCAGCACAGTGTAGTGGCAGTGTCCAGGACAGAAACTCTGCATGGGAAAAGCAAGAGGGACAGTGCTGGAGATGGAAATATGGCTGTGCTACCCATGAATACAATCCTATGAAAAAATGTTGGGAAGCCCTCCTTGATCCCCAGCAGAAACTTAATCCTCACTCCTGTTGTTTGCACCATAAACTAGCATTTTCATTTTTGGCATACATTTTCCCTGAACATTTGAATAAATGTATCAGTTACTAAAGTCACTAAAGTGACTGGGATTATTAACACATAACTTGTTCTTTGTGTGTGCATCTGCATTTAAATGTCTAAGAACACAATCCCAGAAAAGTAATTTGAAAAATAATTTCCTTTTAGCATACCAGCTTCTGAGATGATTAAGTCACTAATATTTTGTAAGTTCTCCAGCTCTTTAGAGACCTCTTACATTTGGTATTATTTGTAGAAGCGCAAAATACCTAATTCCCTTCTAGCTTAAGTTAAAACTCATTGCAATCAACTCACTTTAAAAATATATTAAAAAAGACATCAAAACTGCTGCTACATTGTACTACTCTTTTTTTTTTCTTTTTCTTTTTTTTTTTTACTGCACTGCTTTTAAACTGATTACTTCTCATTTATTAAAACTCTAGATGTGGCCCTTAGAGACATGGTTTAGTGGTGGACTGGGCAGTGCTGGCTTAACAGCTGGACTTCATATCTTAGAGGTCTTTTCCTACCCAAATGATGCTATGATTCTATGAAGACAAGTATAACAAAATATATTTAAAAGCATGTTCAAAATATATTAATAACTATAGTTCTACATAGGAGTTGTATTACTTTGCTTTACATTGGTATATTTAATGATGGAGGGAAAAGTTTGGCAGAGATGTGATCACCAGTCAAATGCTCATACCACACAGGAAGTCAAAGTCAGACACTTAACCCTCACCTGTGCTTACCAAAAGCCTCCTCTGCAAGATGTATTATATGTAGCTTTTGCTATTAAAAAAATAAATAAAATCACAACGATAAACAGAAACTGAGGAGAGAGAGATGATCAAATATATTACTGGTGGGGCTGCTCAACAGTTAGTACTATACAGTATTTTCAACCTTTGTTTTCTGCAACTCTCTGAGATTTCAAGTGGATGCCGTGTCACTGCCATCTCTGTTCTGCACCTGGGGAAATGTCTCAACCTTTTTCAAAACCTTTCAGTGGGAAAATTTGTGAGAGTCAGTTCTCAGTTAAGTAATTCAGTTTTCTGAAGAGAGATCAGGAGTAAGGAAAGAACCACTGTAGTTTTGAAAAAGGACCTTGTTTAGGGATAGAGACAATCTAAAAACTGTACCAGGATCAAGAAGTGACGCAAGGGAAGGGAGGAACCAAAATTTTACAGAATGTCTAAAGAAAGGAGATGGCATTATGAAGAGGACAAAGTCTGTGTGACTGTCCCTGTAACCTTTACACCCTTGTCACTGTTACCTGTACCCTCCAGGTTACAGACTTCTCTTTTGATGCACAGACTTATTTCCATTTAACACTATCCATGCTAGACACTGAGACAGAGGAACAGCAAAGAAACCAGACCCAAACTAACAGAATACAATGATATTCAAATTGTATGCCACAATGCAAAATACAAAAAGGAGAAAATTAAGTGGATTAAATATAAGGTGTTAATTATGACACTCCCTAATTTTGAATACTTGACTTTGCAGTCATAATAGTGTTATTCTAAAATAGTTGTGTGTGGACAGACTGTGGACACATACATAAAATTGTTCCCATATATGAGTGCCTATAGAAACACTATGCTCAATGTAGTGATTTAAAAAAATATTTAAACAATAAATTAGTCTTACATCTTAATATTTTATTATGAAAAAGTACTTTTATTTTGAACAATGGAACGTTGTATTTATTGATGCTACCTATTTACTAAATATTCATCATTTTCAAAGCTGAAGATTATTCCAAAGCAATGGGTTGTTTTACTTGTCAGCTACACAAGCTATTAGGGCAACAAGAGCCTCCTTGAAACAGGTTCTTAATCTGCATTAAGTTGAAGAGCCGTCAGTAAATATCACTCAAAAGACAGGGCTATTGGTATTAGAATACGAAACAGAGGTTTAAATCCTGTTGTCCCAAACTTGTTCACAGGAGAAGGTCCAATTAGTGTAAGATGAAGATGTCTAGAAGCACACGGATGTAATGACACAAGCACACTTAAAAGGCAGGGCCCACATTTTAAGTGAGACTGTGGGTTTTCATCCAAGATGCACCTGCATCGATCCTGATTCAACTGAAACGCCCTTGCAGAAATGCTCTCTGTGCTTATGTTGCTACAAACATTTGGATCCAACGAAGTTAATTAGCTTCTATTCAAATTTGGATACAGGTTTTTTTGAGGAAATACATTAGAACAGCTACAGAGAAGCTACCAAACAGTCCATCCAGCCCAGTATGATGTATCTCCAACAGCAACCAGTAGACTACTCATAGGAAGAGTATCACTATATACTTGCCACGTTCATAAACTGTTTGCAGCTCAAGGACTTCCTTAAGCCAAAGGTAGAGGCTCAGTAGGTCTAAATCTTTTGTGCTTTGAGAAAGTGTCCACTTTTATGTGAACATTAACCTTTCCTGTCATACTTTCTGAAGAATATAGCATGATAATGGAAAATAAATTGTGCATAATATCATGCCAAGTTTCGGGATTAGCTGTGATGCAGAACAGATGAATTTTCGAAGAAGGAGTAGATAAGCTGCTTAATTGAGTTCAGATTCCTTAGGAAAGATACTGAGGTTGTTTAAGACAGAGTAAAGAATTCTGCAATAGTAGAAGTAGACATGAACAGTGGCAAATCAATGCTAGAATTAGCAGGAAAGGTGGAAAAGCAGCTTTCTTTTTTTTTTTCCTCTCCCAGAAAAATATCCATCCAGACTTAGTAAATTGTGATTAATTTCAGCAAATGACAGAAAGGTCAATAACTTTGGATAGAAAGCAGATAAAATTTGTTAAATCCGCTCTTTCACTTTTGAGAAGCGAAAAGCATCCAAAGTAAATAATTTTTTTTTTTCATTTGCATAACCTGTTGTCCCTGTTTTTGCTAAGGTAGAGTTAATTTTTCTCAATAGCTGTTACAGTGCTGTGTTTTGGATTTGGAATGAGAACATTGTTGAAAACACACTGATGTTTTGTTTTTTGCTAAGTTGTGTCTGTCCTAAGTCAAGGACTTTTTTTTTTTTCCCTCCTTGTCTCACACCCTACCAGTGGGAGGGAGTATAGCTGGGACAGGTTACTATTGTTTACTATTATTATTGTATTTTACTTTATTTTCAAGTATTAAGCTGTTCTTATCTCAACATACAAGTTTGACTTCGATTCTCCTCCCCATTCCACCAGGGTGAGGGGGGAGGTTGAGTGAGCAACTGTGTGGGGCTTAATTTCCATCTGGGCTTAAACCATGACACCTGTAATGTAAGTAGTTTAGAGAACGGACCATACAAGGAATTTCAACATCTGCCTGTAAAATCATACATCCAAAACACACTGTTGCCCCTCTACCATGGGCCAAACCACAGTATGTTGACCCCTTCAAAAGGCCACTGCAAGAACAACATGATATTCTTTGAATATTTCTTTGGCAAGATAAGATTTCACTGCTCCAAATATACATAAGATTGTGATCCACTGAATGTACAAGAAACAAAGAGCAGTCGTTCAGAAATCCCAGCCTGCCTTTTAATCAATCCCATGCTTTAATGAGCTGTCTCTCTTGCCTCTCAAATAACCTACACTTCATTGGTTTTCTCACTTTCTGCTTCTGAAATATAGTCTTTCATATCTCTAGTTCAATGCCTTAGACCCTACATTAGTCAGCAGCAGCAGGGAAATCTCTCATCTCCTGAGCTAGGTTTTCCACAGCTCTTCTCCACAAAGACCATGCTACCACAGGTAACAGCTTCCAGTGTTTCCATTTTCTTACTGATAAAAGGAAATAATTCCATAAAACCCAAGGAAAACCTGGTTTTGCATGCCCAGTAATTTCATGTGTGACTGGTTGGGATATCAGACACACTCCCCATCTGGGTCTCAAATGTCAGCTCTGAGAGTAATACAGTCCAGCAAGAATTAAGCAATTCAACAACTCACTTAAGCAATGATCGACCTAGTTTTTATCAGAGCATTTTCATGACAAAAACCTAAATTGATTTCCATCTTGTCCATGTCACTCTAGAGCTTTTTTTCCCTTCTCTCCCAAATTTCTTTTAGCAGATCAGGAAAGGGTGTTTCTAGTTCATCCCTGATATAGAACAGCAGGAGTAGAATATGAACATTTTGTTCTAGTTCATTACTAGAAACTAAAATTGTGAGTCATACATTATTCTAGTATCATGGAAGCTTTTAACTGCAATACAGGCTAATCCTTCCAGGGGACTAGGATATTTCCACTTCTGACAAGCAAGGAGGAAAAATGACAACCGTGTCGGCAGCCACATTTTTCACTGAACAGCCACTTCCCTGCTCTCCAGCATGGAAAGACAGCAAACCACTTGCAACACTGTCAACAGACACCAGCAGCCTGATTTTGTTCATGCCTGGACTCAAACGCAGCAGCAGCATCACAATATTAATTTTTCCATTCGCACGACAGCATGTCCTGAGAACCCCCGAATCTAAAGTCCCCATCACAGTGATGCACTTCATCTCCTCTCTGTAAACTTTCTTTCCCACAGCTACTGGTGGAAAATCCTGCAGGTTTAATCACTGCTGTGAATTTCAGACAGTGCAAGTCATTTCTCCCTGGAGAGCTTAGATCTCTCCTGTACCAAGCCAGCAACATCATCGTGTCTATGTCAGACAGTAAGTTCTAATAGTGCAGTCCAGCATCAGAAGGATTCTGAAACATGGCTGAGCTGAAAAAACCACAAACTCCCTTTTCAGTGCTGAAAAATGTTCAATCATTCAGTTGACTTGTGGAATGGTTTCCTTTTTTCATCCATCCTATGCAGTGCTTTTGAAATACGGGTAAGCGTACAGA